CACACACACACACACACATCTTACCGGCTTTGTTTACGCCACCAAGTGTGCAGCCTTAGACTATTATCGCAGTGAAACCGGTTTGACGTTGGATTTATTCGGTTTCGATATCGACTACCGCTGGGGAAGTTCAAGAAGGCAACTGACGATTAACAATGGCCATCGAATGTCGAGCCGTCTCTAACCAGTTATCGAGATTTTTGATTTTTCCTTGAATCCGCGTGCACGTGATAACTAACGATAAATTTATTCAACAATACAAAAAGAATCTAAGAATGTTATTATTCTGGGGTATATATCTCTGAACCGATTAAATTAATTTTCTTTCACAGCATCCTCCAGATGATTTTCTGCAGAACGTACGTCAGTAGCACGCATTCGGTACGTGTCAATTCTAATCACGATAATTCTTCCCCTCTTTCGCTTATTCTTACAATTCTTTTCTCTTTTTTCTCCCCGTCGTTGCAATTTAAACATACAGTGTTCATTCGTCGATTTACTCTTATGTATCCAATATAATCATTTATTAATTTACTAAGCACAAGTACGTTCTTCTTTTACTTTTAGTTTCGCGTTTTCTTTTCACGTGCTAATGACGAATGCACGACAGAGGTCCTCTTGTTCTCCTATACAGATATTCAGAAGATCAGTTTATCATCATTTCATATGGGAGCAGAATGAATTTTTTTTCTTTTCTCGTGGAATACAATTAATTAATACGTAAATTCGCGAGATTGGTCAACGTTGATTAACGTTGTCTCTTTGCTTGGTTATTATTTTTATCAATATATTTCAAATTATCAATAGACAAATCATCTATTATTATTAACGGTAACCTTGCCGAAAAATCGAATAGTTTTGTTTTGTTACATAATGTACAAGAGATACATAAAATTGTATTTTTCCTTTTTGTCATGTACCATAAAAATTGGATTTGGTATATAACAGCCATTCTTGGTACATAAACTTACGCAGTTCTTGTCTTCTTTATAAATTGACAAATAATAATTTTTATAAAATTGTTCATGTTTTTCATTATTTACTCGCAGTGTTCTCTCCACTTGCAAATATACAAATATATGACTTGCACCCACAAATGATCGACACACTATTACTTTTGTTTTTTTTTTTTCTTTAAAGTAATTAAAAATATAAAATTGTTACTTCTAATAACAATATAAAATTATATAATATATATATATAGTTTAAAATATATATATAGTTTAAACTTTGCAATTTCAGCAATAAACAATTACTGTATAACGTTAATATAATGAAATGAGAGAATGGACATAAAGTGTTGTCCCATTATTCTAACAGCAATTGAAAGAAATTATAAAGATTATTGAAATAAATACCCAAATCATGCTATAAAATTGTAAAAAACTGGCTGTTAAAACAGACTCGTGTCGACTACAGTTGTGGGAGCATTCGATAATTTATACTGCATGCGTAATTATATTTCATCGAAAGAATTAAAGACAAATTAATCATTTATCCTGATTATATTCAGTCCCGTTCGCCTCTTTCTTCGGCACGTTCTTCCGCTCTTGCTTTCATTCTAGTTATAAATGCTTGTCCTTTACTCTTTCTAAAGTTCTCATATGGATCATTTAGATTAATACCAACGCCTTTATATTGATCGTTTTTATCCCTAATTTCACCCCCCGATATTGGAGCTTCAATACCCTGTTCATTGGCACCGAGTCCAGCACCACCCCAACCCATTTTTTTGAGCAACTGATGACCTTTGTTACTCTCATCGAGACTAATTTCTTGAGGAGCTTTACTGTACGTTGATCCGCTGAAAGTA